GAATTGAGGGTGCTCAGCACCTTAGAGGATCAGGCCTTATAAATCTTCCCCATCTCTTCAAAACATAGATGCAGCCTCAAAACTCTTGCAGCCTTCCTCCTTTCTGAGCCTCTATGGAACCTCCCCTCCAAGATTTGAGGGATGACTGAGAGCAAGCCAACAGACGTTCTCAACATCTGACATAAATGACGAAAAAATAAGCATATATATAGGTCTCAGTCCTGCTCCCACTGAAGTAAATGGCAACACTCCTTTTAGCTTTAATAGGATCAGGTTTGAAGCCCCCACTCTTTAAAAATTGGTATGACTTCAGACTAAGTAAAACACAAGGAGATGGGTTTCAGCGACGAGAGTATAAGAGTGACCAAAATAAAATAAAATAAAATAAAATCACAGCAAGGGGAGCTGCTCTCGGCATTGGGGCTAGAAGAGTTAACTCAATAACGCTAGTCTGAATTGCATGCTGAACATTCAAGGAAATTAAAGCCAATGTATGTCCTGATAGGAAAGCGGTGTTTTAACATATATATTTTGGCAGTGTTCACCTCAACTGTATCTCCATCCCTTAACACTTTAGTTGAATTTTAACAGGCATCAGGATACCAACTCACTGCAATTTACAGCTTGATATTTCTTTTGAAATATGAAGCAGTAGAATCCAGCAACCTAATGTTTCCTTCAAAAGGACTGGATGGACGCTTATCGTATGATCTTGATATTATTTCATTCAACTGGTACAAATGCTACAATGAATGCTGTAAAATGGTTTCTATTATAACCCATATTTTTGCATGCTCGTGACTATGAAAAATTCACCTGTATGGATGAACTTCTTCCTGATTGACGGTCAATTTTTATCATTATATTTTTTTTAAAGCTAGAACAAAATCCTTCAACAGCTCTGGAATTTTATGGAAGTGAAAAAAATACCATTTTTAACAATTAAAATAATCCTTTTAAAAAGTCTTAGCTACAGTAAGAATATCGTAAATGTTTTTTTATAACTTGGCATAGACTTAGTCCTCTTTGAGGACCAGTGGCTTTGATAAATTGCAGAAAACTTGTTTTTGGTTTTTTTTACGTAGCAAAAGTTATGATTTTAAAATTGTATACTGAGTACATGAAGTGTACCATTTTGTAGGCAAGGGCTATGCACAAGTTTTTAGTTACTGAAGTGCACAGAGGCTGAGTGCAAGGAGGGTACAATCTCTGATGGAAAAGCTGTAGAGTGTTAGTTCCAAGCCATTTTTCTCTCTCAAATACTATTAAATCAGTTGCACAATGTACAATTCAAATCCCAAAAGTCAGTGAATGAATTCAGAGTACACATGTAATATTCTCTACCTTTTTCTTGTTCTTATTCATGTTTCTTCTGTTAAATACATACCATAAACATATACAGGCTTTGCAATGCAACTGAGCATTGCTTTTGCAATCTTAACTTTTCCATTCTCTGATTTAGTGTAAATTTTACTGTGCAATCTTAACCTAGTTTTTGGCATTTAGTAATTGTAAGGAAGTTCCCTCATTTACTGTTTTAGATGCTGCTATCCCTGAACCTCAGAGTAAACTAAACATCTCTCACAGATCTTTATGTTAACAGAAAAAGTTCTACGTAACTAGGAGACAATAGATGGCATTATTAGAATTTTTACATATTTATATATTTTTACTTTGTGCAATCAGTATGTTCAGTGACACTCAAGGCAGAAAGAGACATGTTTCCAAACCTTAAAGTCTTATAATCTAAGGGGTTTCTGTTGTTCTGTAAGAGAGGTGAACGGTTTTGGAGTTGCTCTGTTTAAATGTAACTTCTTGCTTCTTTATGGAAGATTTTAAAAACAGTATTTTCGATGGCATACATTGCAGTCTGCTATAGCTGTGTTTAATAAAAGAAAAAACACTTAAAATTTTAAATGGAGGTGTAACAAGGTGGAGAGACCTCCCACCGAGACTAACAGGGAGGAACCACTCCCCGCCCACTAGTGGGCGGAGCCAGGCTGGGCCTGCCCCTTGTGTTGGAAGCAGAGGGGCAGAACAGGAAGTATAAGAGGTGGGGCCTCCAGCTCAGTTAGGCCAGAGCCAGGGAAGGAGTCGGACGCCTCTCCTTGCTGCTGGGCATGGGCCAGGGACTGAGCTGTGCCAACCCCTGCCCCCGGACGAGGACCCTGAGGGAGGGGAATTGCTGAGGTTGCCATCGCCCGAATACCCCGAGGAGCTGTCGGGACTGCCACTAGACGAATACCTTGAGGAGCTGCTGGGACTGGCAGCTGCCAAGTACCCCAAAGACACTGAGGAGCAACGGAGCCCTACGAACAAATAGGGGGTAGGAAGTAGCCCAGGGAAACCAGACATTAGGTTGGCTGTGTTGTCAAAACCAGAGTCAGCGTGTTCTGGCAGGATTCACGGTGACCCAGTGGCAGGACCACTCGCTACTGGTAGGGCCCTGGGCTGGGACGCGGTGGAGTAGGGTGGGGCTGGGCCCCCTACCTCCCTGCTGCCAACCCCACCCCTGGGGTGGCAGCCTCCCCACCATAGGCTGGACAGCCTGTCTGTGTTTGCTGTCTGCCCCAGCCAGGGAACTGGACTAAAGACTGCCAATTGCCCTGCCCCACACCTAGGGCCAGGTGCCTAGACTCTTTGCTGACACTGTGCTAATCCCCTGGCAACAGACTGTCAGCCATTAGGTGGCATAGCAAGGTGGAGTGGCCTCCTTCAGAGACTGAAAGGAAGGACCCACTCAAAGCCACTAAAGGAGGCAATTACAAATCCAGGGTTCATATTTCCATTGACACATCTCATTCAAACAGATAATATGACATGCTAAACAAGAGCTCATTCATCAGGACTTGCTTCCCTTTGCTCTCTGCCTCTGGTAAACAGTCAGATTACCTTGAAACTAACTGCATGTCTACAGTGTATTATTTACTTGTTCTATGATATTTATGACGACTCCTATAGGGATTCACAAAGTTGATTTTACCGACCAGAAAGTGACTGCAGTATCTTTTACCTGGGTGGTATCTTCCAGAAGCAGCATTTCTTCTTCTCCCCAGTAACACAACTATAACCTTCCCCCATTATAAACATTTTAACTGTAATTCTAAGGCACCGTTTTTTCTCCTCTATTCTCTGAAGAGTTTTGAAGCACTGGATAAATCTTTCCCCTACACATAGCCAAATCTTAAGAAATGTATCTGTTCACTTTGCTATCAATTGCCACGTCCTATTTATATGGAATCCCAGCCTGGAATGTGGGATGATGGCAGAGGCACCAACTACTTAACAGAAAATGTGAGAAAGTCCTTAGACTGAACAAGATTATTAAAAATCCTGGACGCGTATTGTCTGAATACTTCACAGTATACAGAGAATGCCAGCTGAAACTAATCACCAGCAAGAAAAAAGAAATTACAGCATTTTATACATTTTGTTTCATTTTCATTCCTCCTCACCTCCCACACAGAGTACTCTGTTACTGTTTGCTTTCACTGTAACATGTAGCAAGCATTTCAAGTTGTTCTTTCACACACACAAAAAGTTAGAAAACCTTAGGTAATGAGGAAGTTGGGGACAGATCACCTGTATCAAATGATTCAAAGGTTTATATTTTACATGACCGTGAATGAATAAGAGGCATGACTAGACCATAGAACATATTACTGAAAAACTAATATTGTTGAAAATGAAGGCCTCAGTCATGCCTGACTTTGCACAGGGAAGATGGAGAGGGTGTAAAGAGCCTTTTCCCTGGCTCATTGCCCAAGGCAAAAATTCTGGTGGGAAGTACAGGCTGTGCTCCCTGCTAGCTCCCCTATGGCTTCTAACTTCATGGAGAAGTGCAGGGTAGGATGGCTACGGTTCTCTGACTCATGGTCACAGCAGCCACCAAAGCTTCTTAGACTTCCAAGGCGAACACACACTCAGCCCCTTGAAAAGTTATTAGAACAACTGCCACAGTATTTGCTTCTCAGGAATCCTTAGGAGGAGATTCAGTTGCAGGACAGCTCCCCCACCTTTACTCGAATGCTGGCTATGGCTTAAAAGCAACAGTCTAGCCACAAACTTTCTCCCTCTGTAAGACACGGTGCCTGCAACTGTGCTATACATGAATGGGGCCCTAAACATCGCCAAAAAACCTCAGCAGCTAAAGGTAGTCATGTTACCTCAAACGCTTGTTTCTGACCAACAAGAGGTGCTCATTTTGTAAACTGTGCAAAATTAAGGCCCTGATCCTGCAACACCTATGCACATATTACCTATAGTCACCTAAATCGTCACATTGACTTCATTGGAGTTACTCATTAGAGTGAAGTTGAAAATAAATATAAATGTTTTCAGAACTGACTATTAAGTTAACATTTTCTGAATGCTTTCTCCATGCAAATTTATTGCTCTCAAAATGTAAGATCCAAGTTCTAATTCCAATATGTGGAAATGCACACCACCTCTTACTGTATTGAAAAAATAGCATTTCACATGTGTGTGGAAAGGTAGCAATTTTTTCAAGGCATGTGGTGATTTATGCTTATGCATCTGAGATTAGAATCTAGCCCTGCACTTGGTGTTTCAGAAGCTAGAAGGTTAGTTCTCCAACACAACCCTTCAAAGGTTAAGATACAGATGGCAGACAGTAGAAAGTTACAGAAACCAAAATCAGTCATGCCAGAACTTTCAAAAACAACATTTTCACACAGATGCTCTCAAAACTAAGATAATATGTACTATGGTTTCTTTACATGTTTATGGTTTACGTGCATTCTTTATGTTATAAAAATCTTCTCAAAGAATAGTTTTCCGAAGAGTGATACAATGGTCCTGGCTCCGCAGAATAGCTTTGGTGTGGTTGAAACAGGCTACAATGCTCTATGTAGTCACCAAAAAAGGCTGTAGGATATTTAAAGTAAGTGCACCTATCAGCTTTTTAAAAAAAATACATAGTACTTATTTTTAATCACTTTTTCTGTAGGAGTTTTTAATTAAATATAAAATAAACATACCTGTGTTCTGTGAGAACATTTACTGCTGACGGGTGGTTGGCACAGTATGCAAGGTATAAGTTTTTCATTTGTGGCATTAAATTTAGAAAGCATCCTCCGACCCTTTGCTGAGCTTCAGGCAACCTAAAGTAAGTAACATAAAGGAAGATTAAATTATAGTAACACTATCAAGACAAAACCAAAGACTTAAGCAGCAAGAACATGTTACACTTTGAGAAATGTGACCTCAACCCACTTCATTTAAAATTACTCTACAACCATCAGTCTATCCTAGAATCAGTAACTACGAATATCTTCCTCTCCCAGTGCTTCTACCCTGTAATCTCCATATCCTGCCACGCAAAGCTATGTCACCATACAGTAGGCAGAATGTATAGTGACACTTATAATTAAGGCTACGATTTAGTCATGGGTATTTTTAGTAAAAGTCATGGACAGGTCACAGGCAATAACCAAAAAGTCACAGGCTGGTGACCTGACCGTGACTTTTACTAAAAATACCCCTAATTAAATCTTAGGTGCTGGGGTGTGTTGTGTTGTGTGTGCGCGCGTGCTTCCGGGGATACTGCTGATCGGGGTGGGGGGGCACTCCAGGGCCCGCAGCTGCTGGGGTGGAGGGGGGGGGGAAATGGCCTGGGGCCCCACCGTCAGTGCTGCTGCTCCGGGTGGGGGAATGGCCCAGGGCCCTGCCACCGCTGCTGCTGCTCTGGGCAGGGGGCGGCCAGGGGCCCTGCTGCTGCTGCAGTCCGTGCTGGAATCTGTGACCTCACATGAAAGACTCGCAGTCTTACTTATCATTAAAGGTAGTCTTTGGCGGGATCTTCACATCAAAGTTGTACTGGTATGATAATGTTGGTCAGGGGTGTGATATTTTTGCCAATATAGTTATACTTGGACAAGCCCTAGTATGGATGTAGCTATACCAGCATAAAGGTGCCTTACACTGGTATAGTTACCCCTCTCCCCTCAGTGGAATAGTTATACTGGTATAAAGCACCTTTACACAGATATAACGGCGTTTACACTAGCAGGGTTGTACTGCTTTAACAACAAGTTGTAAAGCGGTACAACTTTCTATTGTAGATAAGGCCTTTGTCAGTTGCTCATAAACCTTTTCAATCGTTTACTTTTTAGGCTGGAATTTCCCATGTTTGGTTTCTGTGTGAAGGTGAATTTGGCTGAAAAGTTTCAACAAAAACAATTTAGCCATTTTTAAAAGAGATTTTTTTTTTTTTAATTACTTTAGCCTCAGCATGGGAAACAAAGTTGAAATTTGTCAGGGATTCAGCCCTGTAGGAGGAAAATTGCTTTTCACAATGTCTTGGTCAAGATCTGTTTAGGTATGTCAGAGAGATATAACAGTTGTATCACATACAGGCATAATACACTTTTAATAATTTTTTTGCATAATTATCTCTCAAATTTCTATTAGCAAGGGGCTGGAGTGTACATGCCTTGAAGTTAACAGTGTAAATTTGGGGTAACCCAGTGAAGAATCAGGCCCTGAATTCTAATAATGCAGACACACAAAGGGGGCAAAGTTAAGGTTGTGTGGGTAATCTTATCTTTGTCACTTCCTTACTTTGAATATTTCACTTCACAATATTAATATTCACTAGTTTGATCCCTGGAAAATATTAATGAGCAACAGAATAATTATACTAACTCCCTTTCAACAGTAAAGTCATTTCAATTTGAGGAAATAGACATTGATGGGAATTAGGAGGGAAGAGTCCAAATTCACCAGTCCAATTTCTTTTTTCCTTCACTGACTACCATCAGGCCTGCTCGCAATAATAATATTATAATAATTTACATCCTTCCTAAAAAGTATACATTTTATTGACAGGCATGCGTTGTTATTCTGGGAGAAAATGCTATACTTTCAATTTAAAAAAATAGTTGGAAAATTAAATTTTGTCTCAACTAGAAAACTGACCTGTTGGAAGTGGTTGTCAAAATAAATTGGTTTCTCCTGAACTGGTGCTAAAAGCTTTACTGATGCTGTAGATGGGGTAAAATTTTTCATCATCATTACAAGATGTGCTTGCTCTTGACACTTAAGCTCACTTCTTCCAGCAGTCTCCTCATCAATAATCTTCCATTTCCCTGAACAGTTACTGAGAAACGTGTCTTCCCCTGAATTGTACACCTTGTCTCACTCAGCTTGTAAACTCTTTAAGACATGTTCTTTGCTCCAGTCTAACATGCTGTGTAAGTTTACAGCACTATGGGGAAAGATTTAGACTAAAACACAATAAAGTTACTGTATGGCTCTTTAATCAGAGTGAAATGAATAGTCTGTAACACTTTTCCTCTGGCTATATATTCTGTAGCTTTTAAAAATGTCAGTTAAATGGAACTGAATGTTAAAATTCAGAATTTCCTATTACTCCAAAGCAACACAGGCTCTCTGGTAAGCATTAGGAAAATGACCCATTATTGACATTTGGCCCAGCGCTGACAATAGTTTAACAGCTAGCATAGGGAGAACATCATTTTCACCAAATCTCAAAAATGTTTTCTGTAATGGTGCTAAAAACAATTTTGTCCTATCAACAGCAGCAGTTAAGAAGCCTGTTTCTGAAAACAGTGATTAGCAGTGGGTCACCTTCCTGGTGTTAGAAGTAACATCCCAATCCTGCAATGAAAGATAACATATACTACAAAACCCCAAACATTTACACTGACATACACATAGACACGCACACCACGCACTTCTCAGAGTATGGCTTTAATGATAACTAAACACTACAAAACGTACTACAGCCTAACCAGTGTTTCCCAAATTTTTGAAAATCGACCCCTCCTTTAGGAAAATAAAACCAACTGTGCCCCATTTCAGGGCCACGTGTGGAGTTAAAAGTCCAACCCTAAAAAAGCAGTTACTCAGACTGAAATGTGTAGATCTGTATAGTATACGTTGACTACTTCACTTCTTATCAAAGCAATGTAGACATTAAAAGTCTTAAGACCGGCATGTGAGCTAACCCCCCCTAAATGAATGGAGCTGTTATTTCAGGCATTCCGCAAACTCCGGAAGATGCAGCCGCATAAGCTGCACTCAGTTCACATTTTAAAGTTTTTTCCCCCACAACCATAACAACCGGAGACTGAACCTATTTAAACAGAAAAACAAAAACTTCTGACTGTCACAGAGCCTAGTGAGCCCCCATTCCTGGCCACCTACTAGCAGGAACAAATTTGATAGTGGGGGTGCTGATGATGGAAACCATGTATTTGGTGTCTTATTACTAGTTCAAGCCAGGGGGTGCAGCAGCGACCCCAGCACTAGTTCCAGCACCACTGCCTACCAGGACTGCTGTGATGGGAATCCGAGCCTCTGCCACTCTGGATCTCCAAGTTCCTGGAGCCTGGACAGAGCCCAATCACTGCCCCAAACTGGCAGTTCCCCGCTCAGACTCCCTCCCACCAGGGAGGGCAGCGGAAGATGCTGGGGGGGCAGGCGCAGCGGGAGGACAGAGCGGCCCCCTACAGGTAACGTGCGGTGGGGAGAGCGCGGTGGCCCCGGGCTGGGTGTGTGGGGGTTGCTTGGGGTGGGACGGGAATGCATGACCGATCATGTGACCTCCCCTTTAGATTGCTCTCCCCCTCCACCCCCCGTATGGGGAGGCACCATTCATCTATAGCGGGGCGTGCTTGGGGAGGGGGCAGAGGGGAAAGGGGTGGAGTGGGGATAGGGCCGGGGACAGAGTGGGGGTGGAGCACCCCTCAGAAAATCAGAAAGTCGGTGCCTGTGCTTCAGACTCCCTGGTATTTAAACACACCCCTCTCCCAGAACTGCACCCCAAAGGTGGCAAGCTTCTGGTTTACAGCTGAACTCTCTCAGGTGTACCCAGCAGTTGGTGAGGCAGAGAGCACACACACTTTGCCCACTTTATGCTCTTTGTATCCCTACTCATGTAAAGCACAAGATAGTACAAAGCATACAAAAAATCAACATCTGAAACCATAAAACGTCCCTCACTTCCTACTTCACCCTTCCCTTGTGCAACCATCCAGGGTCCTCTACCCCCTTGCCTACCTACCCTGCCCTTGCTGTGTCTCCCTCACCTTAATCTGGTACGAAATGGCTCTCTCCCCTAGTTCCCTCCTATGAGTCCCTTAATACACTTCTGCTTCTTTCATTCTGCCTTCTGGTAACTTTGCATTGCTTCCAAATCCCCCTCTCTTCAGACAAGAGGAGGAAGCATCTTTTCCCAGCTAGAGCAAACCCACTGTCCCAACCTGTTTTACTCTGAACAGACCATCCTTGTGGGCTGATGCCTCACTATTATCTCTGGCCAGGCAGAAGCAGGACACAACCTTGCTAATTCATGGCTGATCCAGATACTTACAGGCTTTCCATGACAGTAATTTCATGATGCAATTTCATAAAGTCATGCACAGTTCAAAAATGGTACAGACAGTACCCCAAACAGCCACAACGGCTTCGGAGAATAACTGAGACGCCTGTCTGCCCTCCTCAGCTAGCGTTTGGGGGAAAGGGGTGCATCCCTCAACCGTTTGAAGAAATAACAGCTGTTCTTGTGGATTTCCTTGTAGCACTTTTTCTGTCTGGACCCACGTTTCCTCTAATACTTCTAATCTGGAGTTAATTGAACACATCTGATCACAGGCACCGACTTCCATTTTTCTGGGTGGGTGCCCCAGCCCCCCTCCACCCCAAGGACCCGCCCCCACTTCACCCCTTCCCCTAAGGCCCCACCCTAGCTCCGCCGCTTCCTGCCCCCTCTCCCCAGCGCCTCACACCTGCTGCCAAACAGCTGATTGGTGGGGGCCACCAAACAGCTGCTCAGCGGGTGGCTGGTGAGTGCTGAGCACCAATTATTTTTTTTCTGTGAGTGCTCCAGCCCCAGAGTACTCACGGAGTCAGCTCCTATGCATCTGATCTAACTTCAGAGAGCTCAGCAAAAATCTCAAAGCACCTAATACCAAGATGACTCAACAGCAGAGTTCTGCATCCTCGTGGGAGTACAAGCATATGTCACCCTGTTAGCATCCTATGTGGATTTGCGGTAAAGTAAAAACATTCCATTTAAGGTATGGTAGTTAAATAGAAAATAATATAAAAACAATTATATATAAACTTGGTGGGGTGGGAGGAAGGATGAAAATAGATAACAGAATGTTTGGAACATTATGAGGGGAATATGTTCAGAAGTAGTAGCCTTCAGGATAGTCTACACTGCCCCACAACTTGGACTAAGGGGGTGTGAATGGCAGTGCACACCAAAGTGCAGCTCTGTAACTCCCCCAAGTGGACACTGCAGGTGCAAACTAAAAGGTTCCTTGTTCGTGTTAACATAGTTCTGACTGAAGATGATTTTCTTAATAAGAGGGTCATACAGTTAATACGGGTAAAATCAACATTCCTATCCAAGTATAAGGACATATAGCGAAGCAACAAAAATAATCAGAACTACAGCATAATTTTTTTCACATTATTTCAAAGCCACATAGGCTTGGTCTTTACCAGGAAACTGACATGCCACTAACAATGTTTTTCGGCAACAGGCCACCCCTCACCCCCTGAATTGCTGCTGAAAAAGGATTTCTCTGTCTCTCTCAATATTGTTTTCTGTTTAACTGACACATTTTTGATAATTTTTCCACACAGCGACATCAAATTACCTGTATCTTCCCCTCAGACATTCTGTACTTTTACCAAAAGACCATTAAATTATTCTCTACTGTAGATTTTAGAGGCATTGTAATATTAGACTATACATTCCCCACCGACATGAGCTAATTAACACACAACACACTATATGAGGCAGTTGGTAACCCATTTCCTTTCACTTTTCTAGCTCATGCATCAGTCATTAATATTTTTCTATGATTTTGCAGGAGCAATGAATACATTAACCATTATAATGAGCATGTCATTTTTATCTCCTTTAGCTGTCTGAAGAACAACGGTTAATATCTGTCACCACATCACATGAAGCTATTAGCAATTAACGTGTTCAAATCCAATAAAGATGATAGTTATTTTATATAATTTATTCTGAAGTTGCCATTCCATCAGAATGCTCATATTTTTGCTATTGTAATTAAAAAGCAATTACAGGAATTAAAAATACTCAACAGATGTATGTATACAACATACACACAAATGACTTTAGAAATGACAATTTTTCTCTGCTAGCAAAGTTACAGTTAAGGGTCTGACAATATATCCATTATAAATGACAATGTTAAGGTTTGTTTGGTTTTTTTAGCTCTATGAAGTTTCAAGATAACATAATTTTTAAAGTATCAAGTCTCAGAACAACAGCTAATTTATTTTCAGATAAATTTTTAATTAAAGTAGTGTGACAGTTTGAGTTATGATTCTGCATATGGAATTATAAGGTCTGTAATACACAACCTGCATTGTTGCACATTTACTATACAAGCTAACATATGAATGTATCTGTAGATTACTGTTATTCATTATGATATATATATATGAGGAATAGCCTCAATTATATTACTTAGGTTTAAAATGGAACACTATTGCCTGAGTTTTTGAAAATAGTGACTAAAAGTGAGATATGCACTCGCTCAGTCACAATCTTTTCATGAGTCTGGACGCCCAGGACCATGAGCTATATCCAAGACTAGACTGGCAGCCAACATAGAAAGTAGTATTAGTATTATATGCCACTAAATCCTATATTTTGCAGAAGACTGGACCTAAATTCTGCTGCAAGGACCCTGGATACCGCAATACTCTAGTGAAGATCTTAGAAATGTGGTCGCTTCAGACACATTTTTTTAAAATTTAGTTTTTTATAGAATTAAATATAACAATAAATACAACCAGTACTGCAGACCCATTGTTATTTAATTTATGCTGTCCCCACATTTTCAGTTTTCAAAACATCACAGTTTTGTCTACGACAATACCTAGAATTGTCCTGTACAAGATGTCAGAGGAAAGCTGGAGGTTTTGGCAATTAAGTAAGGCTGTTGGCACTTGAGGATGCAGTTCGGGATAGTGGAATAAACACATTAACTCAGAGGTCCCCAAACTGTGGGGTGTGCCCCCCCTGGGGGCACAGAGGAACATCTGGCAGGGCGTGGCAGGGTCTAGGCCAGCTCCCATGGGCCCTGCTCTGCCCCTAGCTCTGCTCTGGTCCTGCCCCCAGCCGTGTCCCCGGTTCCTGTCCCTGTCCCCAGCCTCGGCTGCTGGCTGCGGCTCTGTTCCTGGCCCAGGGCCAAGGCTGGGGGCAGGGACGGGGGGCAAAACCCCACCTGGCTGTAGGCCCAGCTGCCAGCCCCCACCACAGCCTCAGACCCATCCCCAGCTGCGGCCCCAGCCTCAGCCCCCTTACCCCTGTCCAGAACCCCCTCCCCCCGCAGGTAAAGGGGGAAGCGACCCTCAAAAGGTAAAGGGGGACTACTGCATTAACTGGATGTTGATGTTTATATTGTCATGTTTAGGTTTCACAATTAATAACTCATTGAGAGGAATGTAGGGAGGCATTTCACACTTCTCCAAGCTATCGTTTTAGGCTGCCTACAAACTCAGGAAGAACTCGATTAGTTTACAATTCAATTCACATTTTCAAGGTTTTCTTTATGACTATGAGAAGGCTTCAGTTAAAGCCATCCCTCTTCAACCATCGCCCTTCCTTCCCCTCTACTCCCCCCCCCCCCCCCCCCCCCCTCTCTCTCTCTTTCTCACACACACAAAGTTAAGTGGTATTTCATAGACAATTTGTGGATCTCACTCAGCTCCACCCAATAATCATATTCTCGCTTCCCTTAGATATTATTCAATAAAACCAAAATGAGACGACAAGCTGGGCAAAATCTGTAGAGACAGAATAGTTTAACTTAATTTAAATCTAGCACTAGGAAGAGTCCTGAGGTGTAGGTTTGTTAGGATCCCTTCAAATACTGCACTTTACTATCACTTACCTGATGAAGAGAGAAGCAAGCCTAAAAGAATCTGTCTGATGGCACCAACTGCCTAGGCAGCCAGACAAGAAATGTCTGTGGGGCACCGCATTGCCTATGCTGTAATATAAGTGTCTGAAGGCAAGTTTAAGGAGGACAAACCTTCCATAGAACACAAGAGAACCTTCCAGAACGCTGCAAACAAAAAAAACAAACTACCCTGCAAAGATTAGGTTCCAAAACACTGGAGATTTTGCCATGCCAAAAAAAAATCCTACAACAAACCACAACTTTATCAAGCGGCTAAGGCGTGTGTTTTCTGTAATAATCTAATTTACACCAGTAGCAGGATTAAATGAGTTGGACAGAAAGATGCCTGAAAAGACGCCTAACAATGCACTGGAAAATATCTGTTGTTGAGATACAAACCAATGAACCTTTTGCAAGCAACTCAAAGGGCAGAAAAAAATGACCCTACTTGAAAAGAGGAAGTGATAGTCAATTTATTTCCATTCTCATGCATGTCAATATGTCACATTATTTAGGCTGGCAATACTATAACATAAAAACTATTTAAAATTTCTGGCAGAGTGTCTGCATTTGGTCATTTGTGCACATCACATCTTTTCACTGTACACTGCAACATGAAGTGCCTGAACGATGAAACCTTAAGGTCCCTGCCAAAAAATAAAATGGTAAACCTATTTTGAGCCTAGAAGCTGCTATCAGTTTATAGAGCAGGTTTGCCAGCCAAAACAACATGGCAAGTTGACAAAAATCAAGACATCATGGCAGGCATTCTTCTACACTACAGGAGTTATGATGGATTGTATTGAAACAGCGGGAAGTCAGCAACTCAAGTCAGTACACTAGGATGAAAATTAAATTGAAAATACAAGTTGGCATTGACAATGTGTTTATGAGGAGAATGTAATACGGAATATTTGCAATCTTCTGTAGTCCTGGGGCACTGTTTCCTCTGCCCACCTACCACCATCCGTTATGTTCTCAATATATTACACAATAGCATTATTTTAAGTAGCAAGAACAGGAAATAAAGGACATTACAGGAAGGTGGTCTACTACAGTTTAAATCAGGTAGAAAAGTCTAAATAATTATCTTCATGTAAGTTTAAATGCTGAAAATCATCACACAAATCTATATGTCACAGGTCCACAAACTGTTATTATTATACGGTAAAGGAGTTTCCTTGTGTAAGGGAGATTGGTGTTCTCCTCTCTTATTAATTGATATATAATATCTTAACCATCAAAATGCATAAAGAATTACAATACGTACATGTGAAATATTTCATTTAAGTGACCTCCAAAATTCAGCAACCATTGTATTGGCACCCACAGAACTCGGTAACAGAAGTGAAGTGACAAAGTAAAGAGGCATTTAAGAAGGCAGGATATAGTTTCTCTCAGGGTTTTATAAATTTAATTAACCCATTCAAGCCAAGGACTAAATCTACTTAGTAGGGTGAGATACCTGTGCCCCCCAAACACCAGTGGAGGGAGCACTGTTGCAAGAATTCCTCTGTCACCCGGCATGTAGTCCCAAACTCTTCCTTACCCTCTTCGCTCTGGTACAAGTTATCCAGATTTGGACGTGGAGCCAGATGCAGGGAATAGGATAAAGAATTATAGGAAGGGGAGAGTTCCCTTCTCTCACAATAAAAGGCCTCTTTCTCTACCAGTAGTACCATCTGCTCAGCTTTGCCTCATCATACATGCAGTGACATAATACAACATCCCCACTCCCAACCTGCTGCTGCTGCCACTGCTTCTTAAGCAAAGAGCTGAGTGGGGTTTTCAAGACTAGATTGCTGTAAGAAGATGAACCAATCCTTGAGATGACAGCACTGAAAAATGAAAGTTTCATTTTCCAGAAACAACAGTGTCCCCCAGAATATGCAGAAGAAAGAACTTCCCAACTTTTAATTCTGCAGCCTGTTTGTGTAGTACTTACTTGGTGCATTCTTCTAATGACTGTACAAGAATTTGCTGGTAAGAACTGATTTCTTCCAGGTTTCCCATTAAATATGAAGTATTTGCAGAGTTTAATCTGGAGCCAAGAAAAATAAAGCTCAGTAAGCAGCTGCAAACTAAAAAAAAACAACCTACATATAACTTTACTTCTATTTCTGCTTTCATCAAAGTCACAATTTTTGTTGTCAAATCTATATTTACTGTTATTATTTATTTGCATTACCATAGTGCCTAGGAGCCCTGGTCATGGAGCAGGACCCTACTGTGCTAGGCACTGGACAAAGAGGACAAAAAGCCAGACCCTGCACCAATGATCTTACAATCAAAGTCTAAGAGATTATAGGCAAACATTTCAATGCCAAGCAGCTACTTAACCGAAAAGCTTGTAAAACAGAAGTTTTGATCATATGAAAAACAAAATCTAAGCCTTAGTTAATTTAAAAGAAAACAAAACTCACATACTTTTCACTGACTTGTAACGGTCGCAAGTAGTTTGAAAGCATTGTCTGTAGTTCCTTAGCATATTCATTTTCTGTTTCTAAAATATTTTGTAGCACCTACAATAAATATATGACAATTAGTGACTACTATTTTGTTATTTTCAAAGAGACATTACAAAAGATTAAAACTTTTTTGAAATATTCCTTTTAGCATTTATTGTAACAAGTATACTGTAAGACCATAAAACTTACACAAAGAGCTAATAATTAGATTCACACACTGACAATGAGTTGTTAAATATTACACAGTGCAGCTATTAAACTTATATCAGGTACTGTTTGAAAAACGCTTTTCCTTCAGATGTCTATGTACCATAAAAGGAGTAAATCCAAAGGAAGGTTTCATTATACTTAGCAACAATGTTTCCTGTAGATTTTAAATACCTACACACTGAGCTTTTTCAAAGTAGGAGAATATTATTGCTTCTATACACTTTAAAACGGTTGAGGGGTTATCAGAAAATTACAAAAAGTACCAGAAGTGAGCACTAGTCTTTTGAGTCCCTTGTTGCCATCTATTTTTCTACTGGGATTATTTCCTCAATCTTAATGATTAAGACCAATGCAGTCACCTAATCTTGACTCGAAATCTGTTACTGAGTTTACCTGGAAGTGCAATTCTGTGTCTAGGAGGACTGCGGGTAAATTTTAAATAGACAACGTGATTGTTTTAAGATAATTCTGTTTAAAAATACATTACAGCATGTTGACTGAATGTGAATGTAACAGCAGTAAACTACTGCAGAAAAGTTACCAGAGTTTCGGACATAAAACAAAGACAAACAATATGGCTGGCACATGCTGTTTTTTTACATCATATTACCACATGTAAATCAACAGCAGTAATTTAGAATAACTTGAAATGTATACAGGAGATCATTCTTTATTAGGCAACCTCCTCTAAAGATATCCCCCAAAATATCCTAAAATGTATTCTGCTCAGTTCTAAAAACATAAGAACAGCCAATGATTACGGCTACGTTTTAGTCCCAGGTATTTTTAGTAAAAGTCAATGAGAGGTCACGGGCAATAAACAAAAATTCACAGCCCGTGACCTGTCCATGACTTTTACTATATACCCCTAACTAAAACTGGGGGGGGGGAGCGCGCGTGGGTGCTCGGGGAGGGGGTGCGTCCTGAGGCGCCGCAGGTGCTGGGGAAGGTAGCCTGGGACCCTGTTGGTGCTGGGGGGTTTGGCGGAGCTCGCAGGCTCCCTACCCGGCTCCGCCACACGCCCCTGCAGCAATTAGGTAGCGGAGGGGACAGCGGAGGAGCACGCTGCTCCTGCCACAAGCGCCAGCTGCACAGCTCCCATTGGCCGGGAACTGTAGCCAATGGGAGCTGCGGGGGCCGGGCATGTGGGCGCGGACAGCACACGGAGCCCCCTGGCCCCTCCGCCTAGGAGCTGCAGGGCCATGCGAGTGGGAGACAGTGCCCCCCCCACCCTGAGAAAAGCACCCCCCTACCCCTAGCCCACACACCCAAACTGCTGCTGCTGGCCCTGGGGCTGCTCGGTTCAGGCAGCCCCTGAGCCAGCACCGGCCACTGTAGAAGTCACGGAGGTCATGAAAAGTCACAGAATCTGTGACCTCCATGACAGACTCGCAGCCTTACCAATGATCCATCTAGCCCAGTTCCTGTCTTCCAACAGTGGCCAGTGCAAGATGCTTCAGAGGGAGTGAACAGAACATGGAAATTTATCAAGGAATCTACCCCACCATCCAGCAGTCAGGGGTTTAGGGACACCCAGAGCATGGCATTGTTTCCTTGACCTGATGCATTTGTAGTAGAAGGCCCTCCTTTGTTAAGGAACCACAGTTTTGTAGCCCCTTCAGACAGGTTTAATTGTCTCCAAAATGTCAACAGACACGCACAGTACAGAACATGAACTTGATTTTACTCACTGGCGATTCAGCAACAGAATGCCTGTCCTGTGAAACAGGCCATTTTTTAAGCTTTTCTGCCTTACAGAATCACAATTAGATTTGTTCTTACTTTATGTATACCAGTGTAACATGGATGTGTTCTGGATAGTTCTGTGACTTTTAATGCATTGCATGTAAGATGCCACATTACCTTCTCTCTTTTGTGTTATATTTGTCTATATTAATGTCTAATTTTATCATTTATAATAAGGACTGCACTAAATGCATTATTCACTGTTGTAGTCTATACTCTGTTTTAAGACATAAAAAAGCCATTCATGACTAAATGCAAACCTGATGAAACAAATGACATCTGAACTATTTAAAAGGAAGAATTCACTGTTTCTTTCATTGGTGTCATTGAATTCTGCTTTATTCTCTGAATGGTTCTATTCATCTGAAGGAAAAGAGACCACTTTCGAGTTCATTCTCTTGTTGGAACTCTGAATCCTGACCCAAAGATTAAAATGTCTCCATTCTTCAAGACACCATGTCAGAGGAATGCCACAGAGAAAGCATTAGCTATTAATTGGGCAGCTAGCACATACAGTACAACAGTAGTGGACAAACTGTAAATGGGAATAAACTTATTAGTTTTAATGTATTTGGAAAGGGACTAAACAAAGATAAAACAATAGCTGACCCTTACAGAATCACAAACAAAAGTGAACAAGGTTTCATGCAAAAATATAACAAAAAGAGTGCTAAAATAAAATGTATAATACATATAGCCATTTGTCCTCTCAGGGCTAACTCCAAAATTAATTTTTCCAACATGGCTTTCCCATAAAACAGTATGTACACACACAAAACTTTCCAAAGCGGAGGGGAAGGAAGGAGATGAACCAATAACAAGAACATGACAGCCTGCTGAAGCACTGAACCATTTTATAAAGTGCTCCAGTACCAAAGTGAAAGAAATTTGCAGGAGACTTGAAAAAAGCCTCAATACCATGGTAGTCTCTATGACACAGCAAATATTCTGAATGTACATTCTGTTTCATGACGTAATAACTGCCTGAATAGCTGACGACTAAATAATATTAACCTGTACACAGATCACTTGATTTTTTGGAAAAAAATTATTTAAAAGGCAGCAAATATTTCAACATTTTTAAGAATCAATATTCAGCAGTACCCCCAGGAAATCAAAATGCATTGAACAGTAAATATCTGTGCTGTAAAGCCGTACTCAAAAAGATGAGTTACCAGATTCACCTACTTTGCTTTAAATCATTCCAAAACTTTACTGGTGCGATGCAATGCTATTAGACATGCACATATTATTAAAAGTCATTTTAAATATATTCAACTTCTCCTTTAGTTGACTTTCCTGTCTGCATAAACAGTGATGACTGTCATTGTATACAGAATTTTTGCTCTACTTTGAGAAGCATTTTTTTTAAACCTGGTTCACAGAGATCTAAATGCCATTTTTCTGTGTCGCCCTGCCCCCAGAAACTTTCAGTATTACTTACCTACCTCACAAGGAAGTTGTGAGGATTAAATGTCTGTACAGCACTTTGAAGATATAAAGTTCTATAAAGTGCTCAGTATTACAAGTATAAGTATTACAATGCCTCTCCAGAGCACTTCTGAATTCCTAATCTCACCATCATGCCTGCATTCTCTAATAATCACCTTTCTTGCCTTTCCTGCTTTCTGCATGTTCTGGCTGCTGCAAGACCCCATGAGACCTCAAAGACCTTGTTCTCAAAGCTCCATCACAACATTTGCACAGATAAGTCTGGGTACCAAAGGAACGGGTCGTTTTCATTGAAAGGGCAGCTTTTACAATACATAACACTAATGAATGGCATAGAAAGCTGAATTCATCCAGTTCAAGCTTTCCCTTAGTCACAAGGCATGGAAAAATCAAGCGTGGTTAACAGTTCTGTCACACAAACCCAGTAGCCTCCCTAAGGCAAAAACTATCACCCAAAAATGGATTTAAATGACCTACATAGAACTGAGCAACTTTCAAACCACATGAAAAGAAAGTCAGATTTCATTACAACATTAGGGACAGGCGGCACGTTCCCATTTTGTCACACAACTAATGTCACTCATCTAAAGCATCGCCTCATTATAACGAATAAGAATCATTGTGTAATTTGCTTGCATCACTGGAACTTGACAAGCCACATCCTCAAACATGGGCTCCTAAGCAGAGCATGCAAATGTTACACATGCACAAATTCCACATCTACAAGCAAACAAAGGGCACTTGGAGATTTGTAATGAACTATTTTGCACATGCAAATACCAGCTGATGTAGCTTGGAAAGTTTAGCCTTATAGAGGGACTCTCATTTTAAAGCATATAGGAACAAATAATGGAAAATTAGAGTCAGAAAGTGAACTATTTCTTTTTACCTCCTTTTCCACCCCTAAAAGAGTCACTAGAAATCCTCTACTTGAATTTGTGCTATCTGCATATAGTAGACAATTAGCTTATAGACTTTCATAATAGAGAAATAAAACTTGACACATTAAGCTTTATTATTCTAGAATGGTCAACTAGCAAAAGGTGAAAGTACAAATAATTAATTTTTTTAAAAGCCTGTCCTACAGGGATGTCATGTGATAACATGCCCCTTTGCAGCAACTGGTTACTTATTTATCTTTCGTTTAAAGTAAATTATTTCATTGTTAATTCTACATCTGGTTCAGATTATGTAGTTCTTTAGTATTTATATGTCAAGATGGACGGGCTTTGCATCAAAATAATTCTCTGCAATTTATTATTTATATATTCCCCTGCCAAGCACACATCTTGTCCTGCATACTCAATTACATAGTGTAATATGTACTAAATCAAACTTACTTTGAGATCAGAATGTATGATAACAGTTTATTAATTGCAGATGGTGCTCTATAAATTGATAAAATAAAATAACATGCTCAGGGAGGAGTGAGTGGAATATTTGTGGAAAGAGCCCCCAGGTCATCAGATTATGAGATTTTCCACTGCCCAGTCCCATCCTGGAAGGGGAGTTGGCAAAGTTTCACCCACCATATTCTGAGCTTGCTCTGAACTGTACTTTGACTCCTTCCTCCTTCCATGAGGACTGTCTAGTATCACAACTCTTTCTCCAAAAACCTACTGTGAAGCTTGAACATAAGAACAGCCATAGTGGGTCAGACCAAAGGTCCATCTAGCCCAGTATCCTGTCTTCCGACAGTGGCCAATGCCAGGTGCCCGAGGGAATGAACAGAACAGGTAATCATCAAGTGATCCATCCCCTGTGGCCCATTTCCAGCTTCTGGCAAACAGAGGCTAGGGACGCCATTGATGAACCTATCCTGCATGAATTTATCTAGTTCTTTTATGAACCCTGTTATAGTCTTAGCCTTCACAACATCCTCTGATAAGGAATTCCACAAGTTGACTGTGTGTTGTATGGGAAAAAAATACTTCCTTTTGTTTGTTTTAAACCTGCTGCCTATTAATTTCATTTGGTGACCCCTAGTTCTTGTGTTATGAGAAGGAGTAAATAACACTTCCTTATTTACTTTCTCCACACCAGTCATGATTTTATAGACCTCTACCATATTCCCTTGGAGATTCCCACCATGCATCAATACGTTACTAGAATCCCACAAGCATCACCACATCCAAGCTTGCCAGTTTCAAAACACCCATACAAGAGCTAAGATTTTAGGGCAATCTTGTTTAAGACCAGAGGTTGGAACAGTGGCTATGGGTCTATTGGCATTGTCACACCCTGTCCATAGGTTAAGCAACGATTCCCAACCTTAACTCCCATGTAGTTTGCTCATGAAGAGTCCATTTACGTGAGCTTTCTGTGGAGGGGGGGATTTTACCCCAATACAGATTGTAAAAGTATTTATTATTTATGAATGACGTTTCATTCCCAAGATAAAATTTTTGGAAAGCTTCAACCAGGTCAAATTTTGATTTATGTTCATATTTGAAAACTTCATACTAATTAAAACACTCGTAATAAATCTAAAATGCTGATCAAAACAACACAGAGCAACAAGCAGAGTGAAAATAACTTAAAAAAAACTAGATGTGCCCAAGAGACCAAAATGTATGTGATGTAAACTAACAGCATGACTGCAAAGAATGCTGAGCTCTACATCCTTATTTCAAAGGGAGGCTTAGATACTAGCTTCTAAAAGATTTAGTCAAAGTCTAGAAAACTGAATTTCATACCTTGATTATTCTTTTCCCTTTAGTCTCTGCCAATATTAAAGTACCATTTACTACTATTTATGAAGAAATAAAACTAGAGAGATACAGGTTGCACCTTTGTTGAACATACATGTTTATACTCTAATAACTTTAGAAGGGTTAATCCTCAGACAATAAATGCAAAATGTATTCTAAGTAAAGTCTGCCATGTTGACAGACCCATTACCTTGTGCCTAAGGTCACTGAAGAACAAAGTGTAATTTCATGAAAAACATCTCTGGTCCTATTTGGGTGTAAAAATTTCAATTTTGAAAATAAAAATTTTGGAATTTAACTTGGTCAAAGTTTGAATTTCTGAATCAAAAAAGGTAAGATAGATAATCCCCCCCCCCTTCTCCCATACTTTGAACAAAGCCAACCCTTTCTCAAGCAGCCCATTTGTGGATCATAAAATGGCCTGGAACAAAAATCTGAATACGATATTGTGAAACTGAGTCAGATTTTTTTCCTTCCACTTTTTTCATTTTCACATCAACTAACTATCTAGACCCAACAAAATGAAATAAAATAGATAAGAGAAAAGGCTAAGAGAAATGGCACTAACTGATTCCTTACTGACAACTTCAAACCATAACAGGATCATGCACATTTCCATGGGATGGTATCATTGAGAAAATCACTTTACAGCTAAAAATTTTAACATTAACATTTTCAAATCAAGGAAAACACAGGATTGAAAAGTGAGCAATGTTTTAAAAACCCACAGCAACACTGCCAATTTTTTGAAGTTTTGTATTTAAGATTACATACCTTTACACACTTTGAGAAATTATTAAATAGCAAGTTGATTGTCATGTTACATTTAGATCTATACACAAGTATGATTCCTTCAGATTGCAAAGGGTAAATGGCAGAACCGTTATTTTTTATCCTGGCTAGCAGGCATCGGATGCAATACATGATCCATCAGCGGCCATCCATTCCCAATAATATTAACTATTGATAGAGGCACTCTAGGGCAGTCGTTCTCAACCGGGGGTCTGGTTTAAAGCTGGTTTCAGGGGGTCCGCAAGCCCCAGAGTCCTGACCCGAGCCCATGGGTGGAGTCTGGGAGAGGCACGAGGACGTTGCCTCTCTCCCCCCGCTTCCCCCCCCGAACAGCAGTGCAGTAACCAGAGCTCCATCCCCACCCCCTCTCCCTGACCCCCTGAGGCTCTGCCCCCTGGGCAGGTTGGAGGCAGGAAGCCACAGTCTGGCAATGTGGGGCTGGGCTGCTGCCCTGGCTGGTAGCACAGAGTGGGTGGTGTGGTCCTGCCCCATCTCCTCTGTCTGCTGCTGGCACGTGGGGCTGCGGCTGCTCCTTAGTTCCCAGCCCCCTCTGACTGCTCGTGCAGCCAGTAAGAGCCGCCTGAGTGGGGGGACCCAGCTCCATGGCTGGCAGAGCCCTCGGGGAGCAGCGACCACAGTGGGGGGCCCTCCTAGCACAAAGCCCCTAGCTACCCCCCTCCCTGCACCCTGAACTACTCCCCTGCCTGCACACAGCCCTTAGCTACCCCCCTCCCTGCACCCTGAACTACTCCCCTGCCTGCACAAAGCCCCTAGCTACCCCCCTCCCTGCACCCTGAGCTACTCCCCTGCCTGCACATCGCCCTTAGCTACCCCTCTCCCTGTACCCTGAGCTACCCCCTGCCTGCATGGAGCCCTTAGGTACTCCGCTCCCTGCACCCTGAGCTACACCCATAAGAACATAAGAACGGCCATACCGGGTCAGACCAAAGTCCACCCGTCCGCAAACAGCCCATAACTACCCTTCTCCCTGCACCCTGAGCTACACCCCTGCCTGCACACAACTCCAGCTCCCCCCTCCTGGCACCCTGAGTTATCCCCCTGCCTGCACAATACCCCTACCTATCCTTCTGCCTGCACCCTGAACGGTTTTCAAACTTTTTGAGCTGAGCCCCCCGCCCCTTTGAATTATAATTTTTGGTTGTGCGCTCCCCCCTCATGCCAGACAGGTGGGGGTCCTGCTGAAGTGACTCAGGGGGTGGAGGTTGCACTGCCTCCCTTGACCCTGCCGTGCGGGGTCCCCAGATATAGAAGTCAAACTACGCCTATGCCCAAGCGCCCCCCCTCCCCTACAGCTGAAGCCCAAAATGGGTCCCACCCCCTGCTGGGCTCTGACATTTTTATAGCATGTTGAGGGAGCCTCAGAAAGAAAAAGTTTGAGAATCCCTGATCTAGGGTACGGGGGGGGGGGGGGGG